TTTATTTCCTCCTATATGATATTGTATTCATGTGTATATCCTCTTCTATTTCTGTCCCTTTCGTTAGTTTCCATTACTCATCTGTTGTTCCATAGTTGCAAGGTTTTTGATAAATTTCACGTGACATCAGTGAATAATGTTCCCTTATTTTATCATGAGTTGGATTAATTAATTAACCACAAATCAGTTCTGACAATTAAAAGTGTAAACGAATTTTATTATCTTTTAATCTATTTATTTAATTAATAAATCTTAAAATATTGATTATAATTATTTGTTAAACTTAATAAGCGAATATAATTGAATAAAAATCAAATTTATTTACGAAATGTTGATCGAAAGTGATGATGATCTTATCTTTTTCAGTTAAAGCAAACTGATGATGGTCCAGTAAAAGAACGATCAGATTTTGAACGACTGTCTATGAAAGTGGAAGATATTAATATTCCAAATGCAGCTTTGAAATTCCTGTGAAGAAAAAAAAAAAAAAAAAGCCCTCATTTTCCCTGTTCCTTTTCATGCAAGTTTTCTTCTTTCTCATGCCAAGCTATCAGATGCAAAGCTTATCATCACACTGGAAACTGGGAATCAGGAGTTGGCTGTAGATAACTGCCATTATATTCCTGCTTGAGTTGATGGAAATGGACATTGACAAACACGTGCATAGCAAGGGTTGCTAGTCGCTTGGTGTTTACGGCATTCCATCTTTAGTTGACTGACCCAAATTCCCGTTGCTTCTTTCACTTTCATGCATGCCGTAACTGCTTTCCTCTCACATGTCCAGCTAAGATACAGTAATCTCGTCGGCTTTGACTCTTCATTTTCAGACTTTATACACATTGGATTATTGCAGACGTAATTTAGGTGGAAATCTTAGTCTGAATTTTTTTTCTCTTTGGGATTGTGATTTCATATTGAGCAAATGGTACGGTTCTTGGGCTAAGCTAAATTCCGTATGGTTTAAGGTATTCATTCAATCAATTGGGTTCATTTTAAATTGAATTATTTAAAATTAAATTAAATTATTTTATTTTCATTAATTAAATTAAATTTTTTAATTTTAAAAGTTAATCGATTAAAATTAATTTAGTCGGTTTAATTAATTTTTTTAATTAATTAAATAATAAAATGCATTAAGTTATATTATATTTTAAAATTTTATTTTCTCATAAATTAAATAAAATTATTCAAGAAAAATATTCTAACACTAAAATATCAAGTTAATAATTTGCAATGAAATAGAAAATTTTATATTTTTTTATTTTTATATATAAATTTTATAATATTTCGATTAAAATTTCGTTTAATTTAATTTTTAAATTAAATTAATCAAAAATAAAAATTTTTTAAAAATTATTTTTGATAATCAATCAAAATTAATACGATAATCAATCGATCAATCGAATTAAATCAATTTAATCAATTAATTCAATTAAAATTGAATTATAACTATTATGAACAAACAAAATCAAGAATCCTTGACACAGACATAAAATCACATTATACCAAATCTGCAAATGCATTAACTGCAACTGGGCACAAGTAATTCGTTGGCAATAATTGTTTCCTTGAAGGACCACTTGAGCTCCAATTATATGGCCCTCCTAATCCAAACCAGGTCACTAGAATTCTCACAATGACCAGCTGCAAAACTGTAACATCACCATCACTTCCATGATCAAATTCTACCATTTTGATGTCATTTCCCAGTCTGATAGGCCATAGGAAGCAAGAAATCAAACCTGAGACATGGGATCATTTGCATCAGAGCAATACCATTATGAACCATCCAGGTAATTCGATGGATGTTTAACTAATTTCTGATAACCTCATTAAATTCTTGATTGCTCAACCCGTGTTCTCAAACGTTCGGTGGAAACCCGAAAAGGAAGGCGCCAATTTGGCAACCATGATTGGCTCACCAATCGCACACATCAAAATCAGTGCTAAAAAGTTGATAGCCAATGGCCAAGACCCCACAGCCGAGTCAAGGACCACCTTCATGTGCCAAACTTTGAGGTACTAATTTTCAGTCGCGATTCATGCTAAGTATATTTTGATAAGATGTATTAGAATTTGATTTAAATAAAATTTAAATTTAAATTTATTATTATTGAATTAAATTTGAGTTCGAATTATTCAACTTATCAATCGAATTAAGTTTAAATATTTTTATTTTTGATTTGAGTAATTCACAAATTTAATTAAATTTTTTATTTTAATATATTTTAATTAATAAAATATTTTAAATTCAAGTTTGAGTATAACTAATTAAATTTTTGTTATATGTTAATTGAACTTAATTGAACAAATTCGAATAGTTTAATTTTTATCTTAATTTAAGTTTGAGTTAAAAAAAATAAAACTCAATCAAGTCCAAACCGAATTTCAAATTTTAAAATTTGAATCAAATTCAAACTTGAATTTAATATTATATAAATTTAAACTTAATAGATTATACCGTTAGATTTGACCATGCCATGTCAATCTTGGACACTGCATGGTCTATTGCCAGTGAATCTTTAAATGATCCTTCCATTGGCTATCCAAGGGAATAAGATGGGCAAACCAGAATCCTCATAGGTCATGTTGGCTAGCCGTGCCCATGCTCGGTGTCTTGGACCATTCCATAGCCAACGGCCTACCATCTGTGTTAGTCTTCAAATACTGGCAGATTAGTGAGATATTTGGGTAATAGATTGGCTAATATTTCACCTTCAGTCCTTCACCCAATAATGTAAACTCAAAAGAATAACAATTAACCAAATGGAGAACTTGGTTCTTCCCGTTATGAATAATCAATGAAATCCAAACCTGATAATATTAAATATGATAGAGTAATAAGATATGTATAAAAGATATAAAAGTAACACGATTTAAAATTTTAGTAAAAATTATAAATAAATTTAATAAAATTCAAAAATATATTTCATATTTTTGTATCAATTCAAATTATGACACTTAATTTTTTTATAAGATACGAATACATGAATTATTAATATTTTATATAATATAAATATATAAATTATTAGTTAAAGATAATAATGATTCGATTTAAATAAAATTCGATTTGATTTTTTTTAGATATTACATAATATTATGATAATTTAAAATTTAATACAAATTCAAATTGAACCTTCATTCAATACAAACTTAATCGAATCGATTTTTATCAGTTTGGATCAGTTTAATTTATTAATTTTTAATTTTTTGAATTTATATATATTATTTAAATATAAAATTTTAATAATATAAGAAATTTTTTATATAAAAATTATTATTTTATTTTTAAAAATTTAAAATATATATAAATATTAAAATATATACAATTCAATTTAATTTATTTTTTTTAATTTTTATCTTTTTATTTGAATTTCGATTGAAATTTAATATATATTTAATATCAAACTTAATTTAAATTGAATAAAAAAATTAATATTAAATACTACAATTTTAAATTAAATTTTAGATTTCTTTTTTTTTTTTCGCACTTATATTATCATCTAAACCAAATCCTGATAAAAACAAAGAGTGAATAAAAAAAAATCAGTTAACATTTTCGTTTTTTTCTTTTTACTGCTCTATGATCGGTTGTCACTTGTTTCCATCGGTGAAGACCCCGATGTTTTTACCTCTGGTGTTGGTGTTGGTGCTGGTGCGACTGCCTCCTGGAGTCCGGACGTTGTTTACAGAATTTTGCCAGAGTCCTGTCACCACATGGGCTGGAACTTTGAATCTTTGATTGATCCGGCTTTTCAGGTTCTGTAATATCTGGGTAAGGCTACATCATATCACACTGACAGTTACGGTCTCACAGACAGTGAGTGAGAGAGAGAGAGAAAGAGAGATGCGGATTCACTGTGGCAGCAGAGAAGGACCACCATTAACGTGGCCATTCATGTACAAGTACAGTACAATTAATTGAGATTGAGAAAAAAAAAATTTTGTGTTTCGATTAAGCATTGGTAGTTTTCAGCTGGAAATTTTGACTGACCACCGGCCTTATCAGCAGCACCGTTCGGCCAAACTAGAAGGACAGCAGAGGACCAGACCCAGAACCAGTGGACCACTGGTCCTGACTTTGCCCTTCTAATATAACCAAATATATATATATATATATATATATAACCCCCTAAATTTAAACTTTGTAGCAAACGCAATCTCCTTCGAGGTGGTACCCAGAACTACACTGTTTCAGCCAAAAGGGGACCACTCGAAAGCTCAAGCCCTAACACTGCAAAGATACTCTCCCAATTTAACCGCCCTCCCCCTACTGCCACACCCTACCCTAGAGTCTAAGGTAAAGGCCCTAAAACCACATTTAATGTGCACAAAAACGCTGAATTCCATTCCATAATCAATCACCATCATTCATATCCATCCAAAGATAGATAGGGCATAGACCTATTACTAAACGAGAAACAATACAATGTGGCATGGATTATGGCAAACTCGCTTCCCAGAAACATCTGTGCTCAAAATCAAAGGCTTTTGGAAAATGGTACACATGCCTTGGACCCACCCATCACAAGTTTACCAGTAATCACCACCATCAACCCAAATTGCCACATCATTATCGTCAGTATCGCCGTAGCCATCCCTATCAATCTACTCTGATGAGCACTTAAAAATTTTCTCTCCCCCGGTGAGTGAAGGAGAGGCAAGGCAAGACAAGACAAACCGACCCTCTTCTCCCCTCCGCCAGGGTCCCAAAGAGTTACCCCACCAGGGTTAACCCAGGTGGGCCTACACATTAAGACCATCCTCGGTGTACCACCACCGCCCCAAGGAGTTATAATCTCGCATGGGACTAATCACTACCTTTCCAGGGCCCACCAAAAACAACAACTTCCCAACCCAACCAGTTTCTTAGATAGTACTATAGGACTATAGGAATAGTGATATCCCGAAGTCCGATCCTTGTTCCGTACAGCTCCCCGTCCTTTCCTATTCTTTCTTATCATCATCGTTTTCCTTGTCTAATGATGACGTGACACATTTTTAAGCTAATAAAAGCTCATTTATTTAACTAATTAATAATTAAAACTGAGATTAGCGACTCTGATTATGATTGCCGTTATTATCATTACCATGCACAAAGCTACAAATACAACTATCAATCAGGAAACCAGAACGCTACATTTTTCTCTATATTTGATTAATTTAATTCCACGTACATCAGAAACAAATCTTCACCCAAAAAAGAAAATATTAAAAATTTAACAAAATAAAAACTTAAATGCCAAAAAAGAAAAAATATTAAAAAATTTACACAAGAGGAACTCTCTTCGATTTCTTTAATTAAGCCTTGAAGCCTTCTTTGATTTTTTTTCTCCTTTTTATTTTTTATTTTTAATGAGAGTTTTTTTTCATTTTTGTAGTAAATAAATAATTTAAGGAAAAAAAAAAAACAAGGGTAGGATGTAATTTACGGGAGATAGAGGGTGTGATGATCTTGATCATTCCACTGATTCTGACTCCAATATGTGTGATCGACAGCGTTAGAAAGATCGAAAAACCCTTGATCTCCACTCTCTTGCCAATCCAACGTTCCAAATCCACTCTCCGATTTACTATGCAAATTTGATAGCTCAACCTGAAACGTCTGATCAAGCAATCCCCCGGTGATTGCCTCCCCTCCCATGCTCATCATCTTTTGCTCCTGCCACTGTCCTTGCTCAAGTCCTTGCCCATTTAATACTGTACTGAAATCAAACGACAACGTTTCATTGATTGATGAAGTAATCAAGCTCGTAAAAGTCCCAATCTCCGAAAATATCCCGCAGTCCGATCCTCGTTCCAGCAATCCAGGCTCGAGCCCTAAAGTATTAGGGTTTCCATAAAACTTAGAATCGCTTACATTTATCAAGTTAGAATGAGATGTTACTACCGACACCGCCTCCGCTCCGCCAGCAGCAGAACTATTATTGTTGTTGTTGTTGTTATTGCTATTCGTCACTACAACGTTAGAATTAGCTGCAGTAAGACTCGAACTGTCGCTGCTAGAACGAGAATTCGGTTTACGTTTATTACGGTGTTGCTCCTGTTGTTGCTCTGGATGTGGCAGCACAGAGACCGCGGCAGCGGCTGAGGTGGTTTCGGATGAAGGTTTGGTTTTCGAGCGCTTGGCTTTGCGACAACCACCGCCGACGGGGACGTTACGGAGGACGCCACCTTTTGTCCAGTAACGACGGCAGCTCTTGCAGAAATGACGTGGCTGAGAGAGGTTGTAGTTGTTGTAGTAACAGAATTTCGTGTTGAGAGAGTCGCAGCGTGGACACTTAAGTGTTTGGTGGTTTTGGTGGTGGTGCGGTCGTAACCTTCTCTCTCCTCCTCCTCCACCTCCGCCGCTAAATAAACGGCCACCTCCGATCGAGTCGATGTCTTGCATTACTCACAACAATTTCGCCTCAAAATTTAAATAAAAATGAAAGCGAACTTTTAGAAAGCTCGGAACTGAATCCGATTTATTATATTAGTTTATATACTCATAGAGATTCCAGCGAAGTTTTGCAAGGAAAAAAATGGCGTCAGTGAAGAGTTTGCGACAAAGTAAAAAGCACAGAAGAAATATTTGGACTTGTCTGACAAATATCCCTTTGCATATCTTCTAGTAACAAAGTTTAATGCAATTACCAAATTAACCCTCTTCGAACACGAAATTACGTGAATTGTGGTCTCGGATGGGAAAGTACGGAATTAACCTTAAGAAAATGAGTCGGGGATGAGGTTGTAGGGAGGGATTTGGAAATTGGAAACTGTGACGAGAGAGAGATCGGAGTCGTTGGTGTGGGACACGTGGAAGATAGAGAAGAGGAGGGTTATTGATGTCCATAAAATCAGGTTGTCGAGTTGTCGGCCACCCGGCTATTCTCTGCTGGGACTATCCAGTGCTAGTTAGAGACTGCCACGTCGCACAATATTATTGGTGGGATACAAAAAATTTTAATACCGAAGTTTATTTTAGCTTTGCATCTAGTCAGTCCCCTGAGATTGCGATATGCTGTAACAGGGTTGCTTGGAACTTTAAACTAATAAATGGGCTTTTTTTATTTTTTAAAAGCTTATTTTATTTTGTTATTAAAAAATTCTTAATTTTATATTATTATAAGTAGGTGAAATTTTTTGATTTAGTGATAAAATTAAGAAAGGAGAAAAAATTGAAAAAATAAAAAATTAATTTAAAAATATAATATTCAATTTTATTTGAATCAATTTTTTTATTTGATTTAGATCAAAATTAAATATTAAATATATATATTAAGTTCAAATTAAATTTAAGATTAAAATGTAAAAAATTGAATCAAATTATATATTTTTATTAATTATATATATTTTTATTTTTATAAAATAAAATAATTATTTTATATATAAATATATTTTTATATATTAAAAATTTATTAAAATAATATAAAAAAAATTAAAATTTTAAAATCAATAAACTAAACCAAACTAACAAAATTCAATTCAAATCAAATCAATTTCTAAAAAATTAATTTAAATTTACATCAAATTTTAAAAATTTATAATATTATGTATTATTTGATAAAATCTAACCGAATCTAATTTAATACAAGTTGAGCTAGATTAGAGAAAAAAAAATTAAAAGCATGGAAAATAATACTCTAAGATGCACTCCAAAACTCAACTCAATCTATAGAATTATTATTTTCAATTTTTTGCTGTCTTTTTTTTTTTTTAATCCATAAGATGAACATAATTTATTAAGAAAAATATTTAGTGCGAAATCCAAAATTTTATGTACACTTAAAATCTTTATGCCCTCAATATCTTTTTTTTTTTTTTCATATACTTAATTTATTTAAATATTAAAGTGCATCTCAAAATACTATTTCCATCCCCTAATTTTTTTTTAATAAATTTGATATATTTTTTATTAACGAATAAAAAATTACATAATAATATATAGCTTGTAAAAATTTTGCTTGCAATTGCATTATAAACAAGTACTTATTAATTAATTATTTTTATTGCCATTGCATTTAATTTAATTTAAGACGCTTTCACAAGACAACAGAGAGTTAGGTCTGGGCGAAGGCTATGTTGATATTGCTTGAGCCCCGCTTTGGGTCACAGTCGTTAATGTCCTAGCACTATTACATCTCAACCCCAACAATGAACACGAAAAGGACCTTGACAATATCACCTTTTATATCAAATCCTTATTAAAAATTAATTTTTAATTATTAAAATTATAAATTTATTATTTTATCGACAAATCATATGATCAATGATATATTATTTTAATTTTTGTGTTGGTATATTTATTAATCGATCAATTTAATAACAATAATCGATTCATGATGATACGAGAGAGTACAAGAAATAGGGATGTGGGAGACCGAGGTTTGGTATGCATTAATCTTCTCTAATTAATTTTGGTTTTGGCTAATAGAAAAGGGTAGGGTACCATTACAAAGGGTCTCCTACTTGTTACGAAAGCAATAGGCACGAGAGGAGATCGCCTCTTCTATTCACTGGTGGGATCAGGGCGGTCCAAGTGGGACCACCGTGGCTCCCCTCTTTTTAATAATCCATACATCCCTTATCATTATATGGACAGCTATTTCTCGAGTACAAATTTAGGTTCGACCTCAATGAAAAAATAAAATGAAGCACCTAACAACGTATTTCATAGATCAAGAATTACGAGATCGCTTGTTACCAACCCGATATTAATTTCATTAGTCAAACAATCGAAACATGTAGTCAAGAAATTATTAATAGTCATTCAATGATTTCCTTGTTCAAAATTAATTAATTTTATTGTATTTTTACGAATACATTACGTAAATTTAGGTCATTAGTGTTTTCAACATCAATTGCAAAATTTTACCTAATCGTCTATGCATAGTCTTTTAATATCTATACGTATAATTAAAGCTATTTCCTACTTCAAATTTAAAACCAAATCAATTTAGATATTAAAAATGATTTGATGGTTATTAATATAATTTCAAACCCATAATGTTAAAAATTATAATAAAAAAGTCCAATATCATGTCATCTTTCACAACAAAATTTAAAGAACTGATTGTTCACATTTTGCCTAAAATCCTACTCTAACACCATACTTAATTGAATATATTACTTATTAATGGCATATTAATTCCTTTGTATATATTAATTCTTTTGTATATCAATAATTTCATATGAAAAAAAAAAAAAAAAAACCTTGGAACGGATTGTGGACCTACCTCTAATTTGTGTTAAATTTATCATATAATACTAAAATATGCATAAATATAATAAACACATCTTAAAAGTTGTACGGATAAATATAATTTTAATCCAAAAGGGTATTTATCATGTATAAATGCCTTTTATCTTTTACAACAGTATCTATACACAACACATATATATATATATATATATATATATATATATATAAAAGATACCGTCAAGCTTAGCTAAGACACACTTACAAATTAAGTGTGAAGTGCGTGCTAACTCATGTTGTAGCAGTTGGTCAAATTATATTTGAGAACAGAAACTAAAACAATATTACAAATTCCCCAATGGGGGGGACCTTTGTCGAAGACATAATGTAACAATTTGGTAACAAGGGCTAATCAAATATCCATGTCAATTGCAATGGAATTAAAAAAAAAAAAAACACATCAATCAAAATTCTTATCGCACATGTGTGTTTGTGGTTGATCGATAGCAAGAAACGGAACCTCCTCGTAACCCTAAATAGCATAATCCTTTTGGAATGCGAGGATCGCATTTGGCTATAGTATGTTATCCCCAAATATCTACCCCCAATCTTCATCTTCTTCTACCATTGCAATATCAAAGCATAATTATTGTCTTGTTTGGGACAAAAGGGACACGGGATGGGATTTTCAGCCCCTCCATGGGGACAAACCCTAAATTTTCCATCCATCAAACAGTTCCAAGATTTTATAGTAAGTGCATTTTATTTTATTTTGAGCTATGAAGTCCAAAGTTCTATCCCACTTTAGTTGAAGGTCTCCTATATCAGCATTGTTGTTCAAATTTTGCTGTCTATGGCACATTTTTTTTAGTGGAAAAATTGCTTAGGGTTTAGCACTGTAGTGCACATGATATTTTCCACGTCTACATTGTCTGCCCAAAAGTGGTTCATTAGTAACGATGCATTATTTCATGTTCTTATCCACTCAACAATAACAAAATTACATGTGCCATGTGTTGGATAAAAATAAATTTAAATAAATATAGTAATTTAATCAAATCAAACTCGAACTTAAAAATATCTTTTCAAAACTCAATTTACGAGCATAACAAGCAATTTAACCCATAAACGGATCTATATATATAACAATAATAAAGCATATTAGTAAAAGTATAATATTAGATTTTTAGGATCGAAATAAGATTATAAATGAATAAGTTATTTGGGCTTGACTTTGTAATATTAAGGGGTTACTAAGTTTATCAAACTACTAGATTTTTAGTATTTTTAAAGTTATATACATATGTAAATAAATAAAATATTTATTTACATATTTTAAAAATTTATTTGAGTTTTGTCAAGCCTTTTATATAAATTAATAACAATTAAGTCAAGCTTTAATAACTCTATTATTATTGAAATGAGTTTAAGCAAAAAAATTAAAGCTCAATCCATGAGTTCAAGTTTTTGAGCTTTTTAATCGAACGAAATTCGAATTTAACATTTTATTAATTTATTTGATTCGATCATATTTCCAATTCAAATATATTTATTTTCTTTATTTTATTTTTTTGTTTATTTTTTAATGTCCCAAAATTATTTTTTTTTAATATCTAAAATTCTTACTTTTTTATACTTTGAAATTAGTTTTTATGATTTTTTTTTTATTTTTTGACATTAAACTTATGAAATTTTAATTTTATAAAATTTTTTAAATTTTAATATTAAATATATTAAAATAAAAAAATTTAATTCCTTAAAAATCAATAAATATTTTTTGACAAAAATAATATTAGAATATTATTTTTTGATCATGTTCCAAATATATTACATCAAAATGTTGAGAGTAACAATTTCTTTTTTGAGTATAGATACTACATAACTTTTGAAATCTCAAGTTGGTATCTAATTTTTTATATGATAACATGATATTAATAAATAAAATAACTAATTAAACCTTCAAAATGGACTGAAGTGGCATCACTTCAAATCTGAAAGAAAGGTTGAATAATGAATTCAATTTCAACATACAAAATCAAGTGAAAAAAATTGTGAAATTTGATCTATCTTGACTTAATTGGTTGAGTGAACAGGTAATTTGACGGGAATCATGATCACATATGCACATGGGACGGTTTGGGAAGGGGGGGCCTCTCCCTCCACATTAGCGCTTCTGGTACTTGTCCACATCAACCTCTTTTTTTTTTTTTTTCTCTCTCTCTCAAATTTAAATTTCAATAACTTAAAATATATGGGATTCGGTTAATCCAAAATAATCTATTTTACAATTAATGATGTATTTTTTTAATTTGATTTTAATCATTTATATATGTTTTTATAAAAAATTAAATGAAGGGAAATTATCCGTTTCAAAATTAAAATATATGATAAATTTAATTAAATATTTATATAAAATTTACAAATCATTTGTTAAAAGAGATTATTAGTAACGAAAATCTAATTTAAATTTTATTAGTGAAATATTTGATTTTTATTAATTTAATTAATCTCATAAGCTAAAATTTACATATATTTTATTGTATAACTATGGTATTAATAGTTATAGATATTCATTTATTTTTATTTATTAGTGTGCAAATGGGAAAATAAGACTATGTGTGGTTGAAGAAAAAAAATTTTTATGTTTAAGAAAGTCATTTTTATTTTTTATTT